GCGAAATATGCCGGCGCGAAGGCGTTCTTGTGTTAGCAGGTCAGGAAATCTGGTAGATTGATTGACATGTCCAAGTGGAGATCACTAGTGGAAATCAACACTCATGTTTGGAAATCGATCTCTCGGAGAAAGCAATTGGGAAATCGGCTCAATTGGCGTCAAGCGCCGGGTGTGCCGTTGTTACTGTTGCGTTGACGTCGCAGCATCGATTTGCCAGCCCATGCTTGCCGGCTCTGACAGATTCTTTCAGTCTTTCTGCCTCTACCTCTGTTTTTCTTGGGTTTGCTGGAAGGTCGAGGTCCGGAAGGTCAATGTGAAGGTCAGGCAGGTTTGTTTCTGTTTCTGTGTTCTTCTTCCTTGTTTTTGTTTTCCTGTGGGGTCTGCTGGAAGGTCGAGATCTGGAAGGTCAAGGTGAAGGTTAGGCAGGTAAGGGCAGGTACGTTTTTGGTTGATTTTTTCGGTGTTCGTCGACAATATGCAGACGGCCGATCAACTGTTATTCAGGACCCCGGCCGTGTTCGGGCCGCAGTCAAAGTGTCGAGTCAGGCCTGTCCGGTACTCATGGCCGGACCGTTGGACCTATAGGAGCTGTGGTTGGCCGCTCTCCTAGCTGGAGCGGATGCGCAAGGTTTTGTTGGTCCGATGAGGAAAACATCCACAGATGTGCAGTATATTGGCTGTTCCTTACTGGCACAGACCATTTCTATGGAGTCAGCCCTACAGGCGAGCATGAACCACCTGTTGGTGTATTCCTTATTCTGGCCACATTGCTGCCAGATGATCCAAATATGTGCTACAGCGTGCCTTGTGTACACAATACGGTAGGCCAAGACCTATCGTCAATCATGTCACAGAAGGTTGTACGCTCAAGTTATTACGATCGTGGCCGCAAGACTTGGCCACCGTCCACAAGGCTCTACGGTCGCATGGTGCACCCACCATCATCGATTCACCAGCCCATGCTTACCGGCTTTGACAGATTCTTTCAGTCTTTCTGCCTCTGCCTCTGTTTTTTCTTGGGCTTGCGGGAAGGTCGAGGTCCGGAAGGTCAATGTGAAGGTCAGGCAGGTTTGTTTCTGTTTCAGTGCTTTTCTTCCTTGTTTTTGTTTTCTTGTGGGGCTTGCTGGAAGGTCGAGGTCTGGAAGGCAGGTACGTTTTTGTTTGATTGTTTCTGTTTTTGTCGACAATATGCAGACGGCTCCGGAGGTGCTTGTTTCTGAAGACGTTCCCAAGCAAGTGACGTGCAAGTGAGGTGCACTTTCTGTAATGTCTCTGGCCCCCGCTGGGGGCTGTCTGTGTAACGCTGCTGTACATGCGACAAATCTTGCACCTTGATCAGGCATGTCTGTGCTTGCTTCCGTAAACATTTCTTTTCGTAACAGTCGCAGGGGCCCCAGGGGCAAACTGGATGGCCTGGGCCAACGAAGACCCATCCAGTTTTGCCGTGAAAACGTGCCTGCAATGTGCAAATGTTTTGCCAGTTTTCTGTAGGGTTGATGCAATCCGAACTGTGCTTGGGAATCTTGCAATTGAGTTAACGGCATCATGCCGTCTTCCTCAACAAGGCAGGGTCGGAATTGCACTGGCAACGTTGCCATCAAAACTGTGTTGTTTTTCATTGTAAAGGACTGCAGTGGGTGGGTATGAAAACAAGGACAGAGGGCCGGAAGTTTGGGCGAGAAGTACAGGTGCCTGGCTGGAAGTACTTCGTGGCAGGTCAAGCCTCATTGCTTGGTTGTTATTCAATCACGGTGAACTTTGTGTGTCGGCCATGTCGCCTTGGTGCAGACGCTGAGCTCCCTTGCTCCGTCTTCAGAGTCAGTGGGCATCCTAACTTAGCGAACAACTGTTTGGTTGTTTCTGAACCCCAGTGAACTCAGTGTGTCAGCCATGTCGCCATGAGTCCATGCTGTCGTGCACGTGCTGAACTCCCTTGCCCTGGCTTCCAGAGCCAGCCGGCATCCTAATTCGGCACAACATGGTTCGGTTGTTACTGAACCCCGGTGAACTCAGTGTGTCACTGCGAGGTCAAAGTCGGCCAGCCATGTCGCCATGAGTCCATGCTGTCGTGCACGTGCTGAACTCCCTTGCCCTGGCTTCCNNAGCCGGCATCCTAATTTCGGCACAACATGGTTCGGTTGTTACTGAACCCCGGTGAAATCGAGTGTCACTGCGAGGTCAAAGTCGGCCAGCCATGTCGCCATGAGTCCATGCTGTCGTGCACATGCTGAACTCCCTTGCCCTGGCTTCCAAAGCCAGCCGGCATCCTAATTTCGGCACAACCTGGTTCGGTTGTTACTGAACCCCGGTGAACTCGCTACAAGCTGTGAAGCCTCGTCTCGTTGCATTCGAGCTTGTTTGATAGGGCTGAGCTGAGGCACCTACAAAAAGTTTGCACAGTCACTGCCAGCTTGGATTCGTTCCGGTCGCAGCCGGGTTAGACTTCCCATACCTCGCCGACCCAAGGTGACGGACACCATCCCGCTGGGCGACAAGCTCCACAGATGTCCCAAGCTGGAGGCGGCAACCGCTTACAAATCGCACTTGGTTCAAGGGTAAATCAGTCTTGTTCACTCGGCGGTATGATGGCCCATAGCCGATGAAGCTTGGATATTCCGGGCCGTGCTGTGTTGATGATGGTGCGAAGTGCGGCGGTCTTGTGCTTTCGGCACGGCTGAGATGCTATGGCTTCTGTCGCATGAGCAGATTAGAAGGCCGTCTTCGCTCAGGCAACTTCAGACAGTCCAAAGATGCCCAAAGTCCCACAGGAGTGGACAAAAGCTTTGGAATGTCATGTTAACACTTCGCAGATTAGCCTCGAAGCTACTCAATGCTCGCGGACAGGTTGTTTCGGTCGCATCACTGCTGGCCAATGCGTCTTGGTCGCAGCAGCGCATGCGACACCTCCAGTGCAAGCAAGTAAGAGGCGAGTACTGCGGAGTCAAACCTGTGGCGTGAGTTCAGCAACGCCGCAGGTGTAAGCCTTGCAACTGGAGGGGTCAGATTTCATCGCCTGTGCTGCTATGTCTGCTACGTTTGATGAGATGGAGGATTGAGGTGGGCGTAGGGAACTACTTGTAGAACTTGTAGGTAATTTTGCATTGCATGGCATGTCTGCGTGTATGTCCCAGCTCAAGAACCCTTCCGTAGCCATGGCTAGGACCATCATTTCCGCCACACTTGCTAAGCTGCCTACAATGCTGTTGCATGTGTTCATTCACAGTGTCACCCACATCTGCATGCTTCCAATGGGGTTTCAAGTGGATAGGTGGACAGCGTACATCGGTTCAAGCCGCTTCTGGACCTGCAGAGAAAGCCTTCTTCCTCCAAATGCCGAAGTAAGCTAATCGGCTTTTCGAAACGCGAGCGCTTAAACAGGCGGCGCCAGACGAAGTTTCTTTCCGGAATATTTCTGTGTGCTTACAAAAATTCCTAGACATGTCTTGTCTCGGAGTGGTTCGCTTTGAGGTTGCTGTAGGAGAACATCGACCAGAGATTTTGTAGGGGTCACGTGCAGGCGATCTTGCGCATCCACTCCAGTCAGTCCGGGCCCTGGGCTTTTGCATCTTGTCCCACTCGGCCACGTTCTCCAGTCCCAGCCCACAGCGATTTGGTGAAAGCCGAAGATCGCTCAGAGGTCGCTGTCGGAGCTGTTTGACCGGCACGTCGAATGAGTGCAGGATCTTGCTTGCGGAGGCCGGAAGCTGGGCAAAGTGCCGAGATCTAACCTCCCGGATCGATTGATGCACGAATCGAGACAAGGTAAGTTGCTGCTAGCTGCTTTGCCCTTCTGGAACCTCTCAGCATCGCCTTGCTCAACGAGCTAACAAGGCCCAGCTCGTTAATGGACTCCGCTCACTGGGAATGGGCTTGCTAGCAGCGCAGCTCTCCCAGTTTTGGCACCACAGGGGGTCACTTCCGGCTTAACAAGCAGATGCACACTCTGCTCAGAACAAGCGCTCCACCGCAAGGGACAAAACGACAGCTCAAGAAGTGCTCCCTGAGGATGATATCTCTTGTGCTGAGTGGAAAAGGGGCGCAGGGTGCACCGCAATTTGGGTGGAGCTTCAGACTGTGGTGCGATGATGATCCTAGTGGGGTTCCACGAGGCATGGGGTAAGTACTTGTGAAGAGTGCGTGTGTCAGCGTTGGTTGGCCTGTGGGTTCAGTGCCGGAAGCAAACAGACGGATGTAAGCGTTGTTGCTTTTTGGATCCAGCGGAAAGACTTCGCCGCTTGCATCCCTCGCTTCAGGCCAGTCAAAAGCATTCCAGGACTTCCAGGGCTGGGCTTGGCTGGGAAACACCAAAGCGCCGAAGGGCTTGCAGACGTTATTTGCAGATACCTTCTCCGCCGCATTCAAATCCCTCTCAGTCTATTGGCTGAGATGGAAGACAAGGCTACCTGCAAGCTCCCTGCGAGCTGTGACAGGTTAACCCCAACCGAACTGCGACATTCCGAAAATGATGGTATTTGAACGGCTGGCCTGTGCTTTGCCACCACACAAGCCGAGCGACCGGGTGTGCTCTCTTTTTCTGGCTGCCAGGTACGCCTTCTCCCCCTCCTGGGCGGTGTGACCGCGCTCCCGGCCACTTCTTTGCTCCAGGCAGCAGTTGCTTCCTTCGAGGGAGCGTGAGTCAGCTTGATCAGTCACATGCCGGCACACGAGGCCTAGGCCTAGGTCTGGATGCGCTGCATAGGTGACTGTCCAGCTCCAAAGAGGTAGTGTGGGAGAGTGCTACCCTCAAAGTGTCGTGCAAGAGCGTCATCGTGCTGTTGCGCAAAGCCGCCGTCACTTGCCTTTGTGATATGTGGATCGACCCTTCAATATTTTTGTGCGACAACCCCGGCGCGGCCCTCGTAACATGGGAAAGGCAACTGCACAGTGAGGCTTGCGCCATCGACCGTGGAAGCGATGGTCGGGCACCCTTACAAGATCTTGCAAACGCAGCTACTGTCTTTGGTTCTTAGGCCGCTGCCGCCGCGAACTCCAGTGAAAGCCGCAATCGCAGAGTTTGACGTGCATGTTATCGCAGCATCTGTATGCATCGCTGTGAACCGGACTCCCGAAAACTCTCAGAGATGCCGCAAACAACGCACGGCTAAGCAGCTAAGAAGGCAAACCTGGTCGGATTTGCAAGTCATTTTCGACTGGGGATTTGTCCCGCATCCTTCACCGATCCTGATGCACAACTTCTTATGATCTCCTGTTTATAGCTCCCCAAATTCACTACAGCGCAGTGACTGCAATTGAAGCTCAGGGCCGCGGCCTGCCTTAGTCGAGGTCCCCCAGACCAAGCAGGCACTACACAGTCCAGGGTAGCAGCCATTTCTCAATTTTGTGTCCGTTTGGAGGCATGTGAGGGCTGCTCCCAGGCAGGGTCTCATGCTGCACCAATCGACTGGCTCCGATGTTTTCGGTGCTCTGTGCTTTTGCGAGGTCTCAGACGACGAGCTGGACATGCTGGATGCGGTGGAGGACCTTGCAACCGATAGTGTGAAATAATCCTTCCAAAGCAGGGAGGCTCCGTCTCCGGCACATGCGGAGCCCTCTCTTGGAGGAGCGGGAGCAGGACGAGATGGCCGCCTTGGCCTCCCAGGCAGGGGCTTTCATTCTTGACTTTTACAGTTGTGCCATTCTAGAAGGCGCTCAAAGCCTTTAAGCCCTTTAAGCCGAAAGGAATTCCAAAAGGTGGTGCGGCTCGGCGCTGTTTCTGGGATCCCCGAAGGCAAAGCTCTCCTTGCTGCAGACGGGTCTCGAGCACCAGCACGGGCCGATGAAGGCTCAGGCGCGGCAACAATGTACCGTAAGCCCAAGGCCTTAAGACTCCAAAGCTCTCTCTACACTCCAGCTGGGGACACCTTGCTTGATGTGTGCCGAGGGTACTTGTCTCAGAATATCAGTGCAAAGTCAAGTTCCACATTGGACATGGAGCCCCTGAATCGCGACAGCTTAATTTTTTCAAAGTGAGATGGGGAGTTCTCGGAGGTGAAGAAGGCATTGGAGGGTGCCAAAAACAATTGGCGGCAGCCTGGACCAGAATGTCCTTTTCTTTACAGCAGCCCGAACCCGTCCATCGCGGGTCCGAGCACTTAGCGAAGATCTGCAAGTCGATGGGAGTGGATTTGGGAGAGATCGACAAAAGCCAACAGGCTCCCCTGTTCGCTGTATCGAGAGGCACTACCACAATGGTCAGGTTTTGCTGAATCTGGGTTTTATTAGTTTTCCCGGATGATATCAACGAGACCGCTATCTTCTATGCTAGTAGACATGGACACCACGAAAACACAAGCATGCTCCTCGAGTGTGGAGCATCTCTTGTTTTTTTTGACGGAAGGCCTCGACTCTGCCGGCGCGCCATACTATCCAAGTGCCAGCCGAGATGCTCAACACCACTCGAAAGCGGAAAGCATCTGAGTTCCCCGACCTATCATGCCCGGGGTGGGAACGGGGCTAAGGGGAAGACAAGGGAGAGGACGAGGAGGAGCCCGTCATTCAAAAGCAAGGTGAGAATATTCTTGCAAAGAACGAGGAGTACTTCGTTTGTTCAATTGTGCGAAACTGCGCAAAGCGCCTCTGCCGATTGCCCATGTCCACGCAGCACATCCCTGGTACAGCGGCTTAAAGCTGGAGGACGCTTCCAAGTTGGCGAATGTTCCACTGGAATTAGGAAAAACAGGCCTGAAGCCATTAAAACCTGGCCACCGGAAAATGTCCATCTCAGTACACCTTGGCTGCGGTGTCTGGCAGCACCAACACCATCGCGGGGTACTTCTTTGCCCATTTTGTCATGGACGAACTGACCATTGGCCTGCAAAGTGGACCGCTCTTGTCACGGGAACTCAGTGGCTGAATGAGTACACATTGCATTTTTATGCAAAAAAATATCCCATATAGAATCTATAGAATCTATAGAACTGAATCTTGAAGTTTGCACGTTTGTGGCTTATGAATTTGGCGACTGAGGAAAGGCTTGGGTGGACTGTTGCTCCAAGCTGCACGAATCAATGCAAGGAGGAAGGGCTCCATGCACTCGAAAGTCAGGCTGTCAGTGCTGGAAACCAACGAGGGAGGCGGCGATCCAATGCTGCCAAAAAGCAGGTTTCAAACAGTACGACACCGGCGTGTCGAGTCTCCCTCCATCCATGCGCAGGCACATGAAGATTAAGTGGCTGCACATCGAGAAAGATGTGTCTTCGAGTTGATCTTCAGTGTTTCGCTGCGTGCATCATCTTCGCAGGACGAAGACTGGCAGGGCTTGTGTAAAAATGCTGTGCAATCATGGATGTGCACCAGGGTGTCCCCCTCCCCTCCCTGCGCGGAAATTATCAAACCTTGCAGTGCATCGACCTTCTGCATTCTATTGCTGTCCGCTTTGTCAACGTCGGAACCAGTTGCAGCACGTGAGAGCGCGTGCATCGTCACAGTACATTTTCGAAGCACTCGTTCGGTCGACTGCTTGCTAGAGTGACATCCCATTGCATGGGCAGGAGGTGGCTCATCTTCACGCCAGTGGAATCGAGGACGCTGATGAGGCAGGTTGATACTTGAATCCGGCCCTGTTTGTCTGAGTAACGTTGCGGCTTTGAACGTCAGGTCGCAGTGCATGAATACATGAGGGTTTCTTGAGTGTATTCCGAATGGAACTTCATATCCAAGACTCGGGAAGCCTAGTGTTGCATCCCGGCGGTCCCGGCGAGCCTTCAACCACTGGCTGCTTTAACAGCGCATGGAGAGGTGAGGCTAATCCACTCCGTTGGATGCTGTTAGACCCGCCCGGAGTCTGGCAGTTTGGTCAGGCCAAAGTCCACACATGCTTCGTTGGATCTTGCGGTGATGTTCGATTCTACTCGCAGGGATTGGGTGTGCTGTTGTTTCGGATTCGCGTTGTCATGATGATGCGAGTGCTCAAACTCAGCCCGGATGAGATTGTAAATGTCTTAATCTCAGCCACGAAGTGGACGACGACAACGACGAGGAGGACGAGGAGCCGTTGCGACTTCGATGGAGGCTGCTTGTAGCCGAGCTGCTGGTGCTACAGCAAGAGCAGTCACAGCTACTCTTCCTAAAAGAGTACCATTACTTCGGAAGTGATGGCGATGGTTTGAATCATTGTTGTCTGCTGTTGCTCGGTGAAGTCATATAGCTAGAATATTGATTGTCGCTCATGACGGTTGCAGCGCAAGACATAACGACATTTCATCGATGATATGATGACGCCGATGGTGGTTGCAGCCATGGTGGCGCAGTGACGACGTGTTTTGGCGAGTCACTCGAAGTCGCTTGGCCAGGCCTTGGCTCTGCTCGATGCTGCCCATGACCTGGGCATGTGAAAGGGGACTTGGTTCAACGATCTATGGTCTAGGGGAGGAGGATGCTCTCTGCAAATTAGGGCATGTGAAAAAGATAGGCAGTCCTCCTATAGAAAACCCCGAGCAATCTTCTGTGACTGCGATGACGAAGACGTGCTTCGTTTCAGGACTCAGGTCGAGCAAAAACGGCGCGCCAAGCTGCGACTCGTAGACGTCAGGGATGGGTTTTGTAGTGCGTGCAGAGGCCTCTTTGGAGGAAACAAAAGCTGATTGAGCCTTGTATGCAACGGATGCTTGGCTGCAGGCTTTAAGCTCACGACCGCAACACGCAGTTGCGAACCCCAGCCCAAGCACTGCTATTGATTGCACCGGTTCTTTGCAGCAAACTGCCATTGACGCCAGTCCAAGGCCTCAGAAGCCTCTGCCCAACCTTGACCCAAGCCACAGAATTTCTGAGAAGCCGCGAAGCTTCGTGTCTGTGGCCATGCTTGGCGACCCTGCCCACCCGGAACACTCCGGAGAGGCGGGAGTTGAATTCTGGCTCGTCGCCCTCTGAAGTGCAATCCTATGCAGCTGCCGTTGCCAGGCTTTGGACGAACAGGACCGCTGAGCTTCAACAACTTCGCACAACTCCGAAATCTGTGCCCCCCCCCCCCCAAAACTCGTTCCTGCACACGGTGCACAGAGGAGAAGGCCACCAGCAGTGAGGTGCCGCTGGTAGGGACCTAAGATGTGCCCGGACGTGTCTTCGCGAGATTTTGGATGCCATGGCGGCCATGGCCCAAAATGGCCCAAAAAATCTCGCGGAAGATTTCTGAGCCTCCGCATGGATTTGCTTTCATTTGCACGGAGACTTCAAACTTTGGCAAAGGCCTCGCCACAAAACCTGGCCCGTGTTCAGGAGGCCACGCCATGGTTCAGTGCAGAATTCCATGGTGTAGCTGGAAGCCTGAGAGCAGGTGCTGCAGTGCATTTTCGAGTTCTATGCTTGCGGCGGCCCCTGTGCTTTGATGAAAGCATGACCATGTGTCCTGGTATGCGGATTCTCCCTTTGCTGCAGGCCCTGCTACACTGCTTGAGCTTTGCGGTGCCATGGGGGGATGTCCAATGTGTGAATGAGAAGAGACCTCCTGTGCTCGCCAAAACCGGGTCTTCAGCCCTCTCCTTCACTCCAGTCTAGAAGATGAGCACGACACGAAACGCCTCCAAGGTCAAGGCACTACGGCATTGCAAGAGCCAAGGCAGGCCGTCAGAGCTGCTGGTCGTCTTTGTGGAAGTTGCTGGCAGCGTCTCTTGCATTGGCAAACCATGACTGTGGTGTTGCCCTCGGTGAACCGATCCCGCATCCTGTTGAACATGCTGGCCTCCTCTGAACCCGCGAGCCCAGTCCCACCAGACTTACAAGTCGCCGCATGTGTAGAAGGGGTCTGTGTTTTGAAAGGCTCACCAACACGCGCTTCACGCGAATGGCCCCGCGCCCAGCATGCTTTCATGTTGCTCGCGGCAAGTCACGGAATCTAGCGCCTTTGCGCTTGCAGTATTCCATGAGCGTCGAGAGATGTCAGTATCAAGCCCTTCCCTCTGAACCCCCCCTCGTTGTTCTCGTTGTTCTTCTTCGTACTGTTGTTGTGACCTGTTTCCGCCCGGGGTTGTCTAGGCAACACAGCAAGCCTGCCGCATGAATCCTGACACTGAAATTGTTTCTTGACGCGAGAGGCAATGGATGCGGCGCTCCTGGACGAGCGGCTGACTCCTGCCAAGGTGGATCCCAGCCATTGCTTGAGCATACTGTCTGCTCTTTTCGAAAGCGCCATGCGCAGCGTGGGCAGGTCGACGTCACGTTCAGCCGCGTGACTCCGGCCAAGTCTCACCATAGTGCGATCGGAAATGACCCCAGCCGCTGTGCTCGTGCCAGGTTTGCGGAAGCTCCCCGCACATGCTACTCACGCAGTTTCGCGATGCGATGGTCCGGCTAGCTGCCATCAAGTACCCATCTGTGCCGAGAACGGAGGCGGTTGAGTTCTTGCAGCTTGCGTCCGACCCGTAGACGCAGTCGACACAGGCGGTGATGCAGCTTTACCAGAAGCACTTGGCCACTTTTCAGGGCACGACCAAAGGCACCATGCTCGAACAATCAAGTGTGCACGGCACTGGATGATACTGGATGTGCTCCCTCTCTGAGTTCCGATTGTTCGAGATTCTTCCAAGGAGTCGTGGCCGAGCTGGACCAAGCTATGCTCAGCCTACTTGGGGCAGCGAGGCGACGGGCTCTGCCGGCGGTATCAGGGGTGTGGGACGCGACGCAAAGAAAGACAACCCGTCTGCAGCTCATAACTCGGGAAGCTTTTGCCGGGCAGCAGGGCTCAGCATGGACCAATGGACAATCATGACCTACAAGCCGGTTTGGCCCCCTGGCCCCCTCACAAGTGTCAGAAAGAGAGGATTTAGAGGCTGCATCCACACACAGAGCCAGCAGCATCAGCACATGTCAGCACGCCCATCTACCGGTTTGTAGAGCCAGACCGGTCTCCTGCACGCTGCCATGGCTGCAATCGACGCACAGCGTCCCTTGCCATTCGTAACTCAATGCTGGCTTTTTCGCTGCCATGACGAACAGAGTACTCAGGAACGGGCTTGAAGTTCGTGGATCCCGAAGCATTCGTGGAGCAGGAGTTCAGTCTGCATCGAAGCCCAAGCAATCCACTAACACGCACGCACACGTAGGTGCGGGATGCTCATGTCACTTTCGTGCGTCTGATTTGCATTGCGAAGATGTGCCTATAGACAGCCGCCCGGGGCCGCAGCAGCAGAGTGCGGAGTGCCGAAGGGATCCAAAGGGCCCTCCGTTCAGGAGCTGTGGTGGGACCTGGCGAAGACCTTCGTCGCTCCGATTCCGAGCACGGTGGCAGAGCTCGAGCCGATAAAGCAGCGAATGCGCCGCTTGACAGCATTGGTTTGGAGGGATCGCCGGCTGAGTGATGATGAGTGGCTCGAGATTTTTGAAAAGGCGGAAGAGTCACTGAATCTGCTCGCGGAGTGAGCGGTGCCGGGCTTTGGAACTGATGAGGTACCGATCGCAGCTATGCACTATCGATTCTACAAGATGTTGCGAAGTGCAGCTACAGCTGGCAGATGACGCAGTACTTGAGCCAGGTGACTGCGTCCTTTTTAATTGTCGCTTTAACGTTTTGCAACAGTGTGGACAGTTCAAGACAGGTCTGACATGTGGAGGCTAGCAGGACAGGACATTCCAATTTTCCTAGCAGCAGACGCTGTGTAGGAGCTGAAAGATGACAGAACCTCGGCCTCAAACTGGTTCGGAAGTGAAGCAAGGTTCAAGGAGAGAGTCTCCGTGTGTCACCAGATGTTTTTGTGCGATCGGAGAGCCGCGGCACGGGTTCAGCACTGAAATGGTGATGGGTGTTGCAGTCGATTGCTTGTTGTGCAAGAAGTTGACTCTCTGCACAGTCTGCAGCTCAGGGGAAATCTTTCTCGCCGCAATCAACCAACCAGAAGGCCAGGACAGCCGAGAGAGAGATCAGGGATCCAGGAAAGTACTGAGTCCCGGAGGCATTTGCCAGAATGTCGTCATGCAAAGTGCAGAAACTTAGGGCAGTTTTCAGCCGACCGGTGGCTCTCAGAAGTCGTGTCAGTAGCGGACCTTGCGTGCAAGGCTGGAAGTGCCTGAAGTTCGCTTCACAGCTGCTGGCCACCACAATTCAGGGTTCCGCAGAAGTATCCCCGGAATCCAGAAGAGGGATGCGAGCAGAGGTGACGCTTTTGTGCAAAGTCTGCCGTTGTTTGCCTTTGCATGAGCCAAGCCGAGCCAGCGAAGCCGAAACTGTCAACCATCGCCACGACCTAGACACACCTTGGAGCGCAAAGTGAATAATTCGTGCGCTGTCTTCTTGCAGAGCCTTGAAAGCTAGACCTCTAAAGCTTGAAGCCTTGAAGACCACTCTCAAAGTGCACTTGCCCTCGGCCTGCCGGTACTCCTGGCTGAGATGCGAGGTCGGTCCGCAACGATGCGAGTGTGTGTCATGAGGCGCATGCTTTGCCAGAACGCACGTAGAATCTTAAGCTTGAGAGAGCTGTCTGCCACAAGTGGGCCTCGAGCTTCTACATGACAGGATAGAGGGAGCTTCCAAACCAGTGATCAAGGCTGTCTCGAGAAACGTTGCCGCCCTGGAGTTCGTTGAGGGCCGTTTCCGTCAGGATGGCCGCTTGACAACTGGCTCTCGGGAAAGCTTCGGCCTGCTCCCACCTTGCCTCAAGATGCCTCAAGGTAGAATCCTCTCCATGTGGCTCTCCATCGCGCTGCAGAAAGCGAATCAGAAGCTCGAGACTCGGCAGCGATTGCGGCGAATGCGAGCTTCTTGCTACTTGCTGCTGTGGGTTCCTTGCGGTATGTCGGAAGAGCTGAGCCGAGGAGAATAAGTTCGAGAAGCACTGGAACAAGGCGAGTCGGCCCAATGCACCCAGGAAGCGAGCTGCTGGGCGACATCTTGGCTGAACGCATTCTAAGTGGTGACTTCTTCATTTTCTTCGACGGCCTGGCCTCAGATAAACTTTACAAAGCACCACCAGCTGCTTTCAGAGAAGCATGCAATCCCGATATCCCAAATGGGCCCGCGAATCTAACTTGCAAACTAGAGGCCAGTACGGATATTTTGCAGCCCCAGTCATGAAATATGTGTATGAATGTATACAGTCTGCATACATACCTGCATACATACCTGCATACCTGCATATCCACAGACCTACATACCCACGTGCTTACGTACATATTACATATCGACGTACATTGCGTTACATTGTCTTGCTTTACATTACATCTCAATACACTACATGACACTACGTTACACTACACAACGCTACATCACGCAATATTGTGTTGCATTACGCTACATTGCACAACATTGCACTACATTACATCACATCACATCGCGTGAGAGTCATGTATAAGTCTATGAATGTACGGTTGTATGTATGTATGTATGTATGTATGTATGTATGTATGTATGTATATATATATATGCATACATGTATATATGTATATATATATCTATATACATGTATACATGTATCTATGTACATATGTACATATGTATATATGTATATATGTATATATGTATATATGCATATATGCATATATGTATATATGTGTATATGTATATAATATATGCATTTATGTGTAAATGTATAACCGTAGCCATTTTGGCTCAAGTGTGGCACTCGTACCGTTTCCGGTGATGTCGCTGGTTTGCATTGCAGATTGTGTTATCCCTTTTGGGGAGGAATTTGACCGGTCAGATCGACTCCGCGACTACTGCGGTTGGGGCTTAACGACATCTGGCGTTCGTTATGTCCGATCGCTTCTTGAGTCCACGGTGCTTTGCTCCGCCTATTGGGATCATGCAACGAGTGAGGTAGTCATCGTTTTGACGCAAACAGAGAAGGATGAGAACGGTACTCTGGCGCCACCAGTTCCCGCTTGTTGTTTTGGGTTGTTCGGTCTGGTGTGGAACGGGAGCAGTGTGTCGGCAAAAAGGAAGAGTAGCAAAGGTTGGCGGTCGACACCAGACTCTGTCAAGGAAGGTTTGCCGTTGGTTGGGACGCGCTATGCTTTGGCACACTTTGCGTGTAGCCGAAGTGCACATGTAGTACACCATCGACGTTTTACCCAGATGGCGTTCGAGGCCGGTTTTCGTCATGAGACTGTCAGAGAACAACCTGGGAATGAGGTGGTTATTATGTTTGGCGGTGAGTATGCAAACGGTGTGCCTGTCCTTGGGTCAGGGCCATTTGTCTCAGAACATTCCGGGCAGCCCGTCGGCGTGCAGCAAGAACGCACCTTGTATGGTGGCAGCCCCGATCAGCCGCTGGTCCATGTTGCCTTCAACGGCTTGTCGACCGACTATATGCTGGAGCTGTGCCCGCAAGGTGAACAGGGTGACTACTCGTACACCGTCGCTGTTTGTGAGGGTGCGAAGAAGGACCTCTGTGAAAAGGGCTGTTTGGCTGGTTTGGCGCCGATCGTCTTTGCCACGAAGGCCGATGCTTCATCCCTCATTTTGAATGCATTAAATGGCGGACGGCCGCTCAGTAGCCGCGGTGTGCCTGGCGTAGAGGTCCTTTGCCCGCCTGTTTTCAAGTCAACGTGGTCCATGAGAACGGTTCAGAGTGAAGATCGGCTCCATTTGTCACCAGTTCTCGCTGTGGGCTCTGATGAAGAAAAATACCCGAGGGCTTGGGTGCTTGACGTGCCGATGCAGTCAGAAGGTGGCTATGTTGTGACTTTGGACGCGACGCCATTGCCGATCTATCGCAACGTCGGAGATTTCGAACGTTACCGAGGTGTCGTTGAGTCGATTCTTGGCTCACCGGAGCTTGAGACGATGGTCACAGATAAACTGCGGGCACAAGAAGTGGCACTTGAGTCATGGATTGGTTCTGGCGGGAAAAGAACAATGCGGCCACGCGAGGCACCGGTCGTCCAATGTGAGGGGATCCGATTTCAGCTCTTGGTCGAAGTGACAGGCTTGAAGGCGGAAGGACAGCCGGGAGAGGATTCTTATTTCAACCGCTCGCTCTCACCGTTGTTGTCACCGGTTTTGCGGCAGCGTGCTGAGAAGAGAAGAAAATCATGGGAGCGCTCTTTGGGTGCGAGGTCTGGTTGCCGTTTGAATTCCCGGTGCAGTCCTTTTTGCTTGGTGAAGCGTTGGAAGAGATTTTGGTTGGTTGTAATGATGAACAGGCTCTGCGGTTGTTGCGGCAACGGCCGTGCTCGCAGGACGGTGGCTTTGAATCACGGATTGGCGGTGAGGAGTGGCTGCCGGCCTTTTCTCAGCTGGATGCAGAGTTCATTGTGAAACAAGCTGAGGATCGAGGCATCGGCGATTCTGACGAATTGTTCCAAAGGATGTCTGTGGCTGGTATGATCCAAGAGACTGATCTGGCCTGCTGTCAGCTGTCGCTTGAAGACTCGAAGGTTTCTCGCCGTTGGAGGGTCAGGTTCAACCCGTGTACTGACGAAGAACGATGGTGTCGGCTTCATGGTGAGTTTGCGGCTGAATGGTATGCAGAAGCCCGTGCTGGCTTGGCGAATTTCAGTGTGAAGCAAAGGAAGGAAGCCCGGCAGAAATTGGATGCGCTGCAGACGGCTTTTGCATTTGAGCCTTATTGTGCCGTTTCTGAGCTGGAGCGAAAGGTGAAGTTTTTCTTTGCGATCCGGTCTTGCATGCGTGTAACACCGCGGCTCATTGATTTTCATGCGATTGCAGCACGCTGGGGTGAGCGCTGCTCAAAGCTTCCCGTGGATTGCGCGCCGGACTTTCCTGTTAGGTTGAGGTTGACGGGCGCCGGTCAAAGAGGATGACTTTTGTCCCGA